AAATAGTTCAATGCTGAATGGTTTACTGTTTTATCTCATTTTCTGTTAATTTTTTTTATCTAAAAGTACTGGAGTCTATTTATATCACGTCTCGAAAACCTTCTCCCTGTAAATAGCGTGGTTGTCTGCTTGGTCTTGCTATGATAAATCTCTAGTATCCCCCCCCACTTTTTTCTTTTTGTCTTCTCATCATTTAATCATTCACAATTTTAAATTTGTTATATTTTACTTTGCACACTCCCGATTAAAAAAAATCTGAAAGAGCAGGTGTGTGTGTAAGGGGGGTGGGGCGGTTGCCTTTCCTCTTTCATTTTTTAAGAGTTTTTATAATTTTTTTCTTTTCTGGACGTAATTTATATAGAAACTGTCCAAATATTTTGCATGTCTGAACGCTTTCGGCTATACGATTAGCCATTGTCAGTGATAAATTTTGTCCGGGATAATGGCTAAAAGTATAGCCGAAAGTGTTCGGGCACAATACATTTGTACAATTTCTACATAATTTACATCTAGAAAAGAAGAAAATTATAAGAACACATGAAAAAAATAAAAACTTAAACGCAGTAACTTGTCATTCGTTTTTAATGAAACCTGTATAAAAGAGGGATTGCTGCCCAAATATACAATTATATTTATATTCCAAATATTACGTTTTCAGGATCTTACTAAAAACCGATCATGAGATTATAGAAATTTTAAGCGTCCGATGATAGGTTTATCACCAATAAACTTTTAGTTACGAGTGTGATTACTAAGATTCCCAAAAAGTAATATTTATATTGTATGAGGTTAAGTGAGAAAGACGTTGGGCACTGTATTCGAATATCGACGTGAGCCTGCACTTGGCTGAATTATATTTCATTTGTATACACACTTTTTGAAGGGTTCAATACAAGGACCTGATGCACTACATGCTTCAACGTCAACAAACGACCCTCTGTAGGTTTTGAATTCACCAGTTGTCATACAGTCTGTCTTGCTATTTACCCATAGCTGGAGGGAGAAGAAGAGGATTCATACCGTTCCCAAGGGTTTAGCACGTAGGTAAATGTAACGGATTCCACAGAAATTCGAACTCGGCTCTCCGATTCCTCAATCCAAGCCGCTTTCCATTACTCTAACAAGTTATGAAGGTGTCCAAGTGACACAGTTCAATGTCTAATAAACGAATATGAGTAAGTGATATTTTTGAATTATTTTTTTTATACAAATTAATGTTTAAATCATTTTAGTTTGGGATTAATTTATCTCTATCTATAAAAGGCAGGATGTGTGTCTGTGTGTGTGTATGTGTGTGTAACGAATGCACGGCCGCAATTTTCGACGGATTTGCACCAAAATTTACGTGCACATGCTCCAAGATAGCGGGAAGGCCAAAACCGAATTTGCATTCCCCAACTCCCATTGATAGTGGAAATAATCGATCTTTTCATGCTTCTACAGCAGTTTTCATGTAGTTTGCGGTCATTTTGTACTGGCCAGAGTGAGAGCCAATAGCTGGCTGCCACGAATAGGCAGGAAGATTCTATTGGCCAGCGTGAGAGCCAACAGTTGACTGACACGAATGTTAACTAGCATGCTAGCATTAAAAAAAATCGATAGCTGCATTCGTCACAAGTGGGAAACATTTATATCTGCATGGCACTTTACTCCAATTGGCTCATTTGCTTGCTTAAACTCAACGTTGATTCTGATTCCGCAGAACTAGATTGGGTGTGAAAAAGTATTTGTTGTTAACATTCTTTTTAATTCGGTTTTTCCAGTTACGAGTCCTTTTTTAAAGCTGATCGTTTTGTGTTCATTTTGTTTAGTTCTTTTTTCGTAACAGATTTAATGTTTAGTATAGAGCTTAGAAAAAATTCGTAGTGTGAAATAGGCAAGAAGTAAGACATGTAGCAACATCAGCACGGCAAAGGGAACTCCTTTAAAGGCAAGGAAGAGCAAAGATATTTTAAGTCAAGTAATAGCGATTGCTGCATGCGTCGTACGGTTTTTGAATCAAGCACGGGCATCGCCGGGCCATGCTGCTAGTTGTTATATATCTTTTAGTTTTTAACATTTTTGTAGTCATGTATTTTGGCTTGGAATAGTAGTAATTATTTCAGGAATGAAAATAGTGGAAAAAATAATCCCAGAAAGAGACTTATATTTTGATAATATTCAATAGCGGCACTATCGAGAATTTCCCTTCTAAATAAGTGATTTTCTTTTTAATAAGTGAGGAATTTTTTAGATAAACTTATTAAAAAGTAAGAAAGTAACTTAGAATGAAGATTCTCGAGAGGGAATTTCATTAGACATTTTTGCCCTTGCCTTTTTACATTGTGGTCAGACCCAATTAGGTGATCGGCTTATGCACTGACTGTTTCTTTTGTAATAATTCTCTTATGTGTTCCTATAATTTTTAATTTAAATTTCTTGAAGTCTCGCCTATGTGTGACTTGTAGCAGTCATTACATGTTATAGAGTAAATTCCTGCTTCAGGTTTTAGATTGTTATTATTTTGTTTATATCACTTATTGTTTTAATGGTAGTCGTAAGAAAGATTAAATTAAATGTTTTATTTAATTTAAAACTGAAAAATCGAAAGAATTAAATTCATTGTTTTTGCATCTTCAGAGTTTACGTTCGATATAAAATTATAACTGACGCAGACGTTTTCATTTACACAAGTAATTCCAACAGTAAAAATATTACAGTGTAGTCATTATTCAGGATATATATATATATATATATATATATATATATATATATATATATATATATATATATATATATATATATATGTGTGTGTGTGTGTGTGTGTGTGTGTGAAAAGTGTATATAAATATAAATAAATATATATATATGTATAATTATTTATATATTATATACGCGGTACTTATTAGAAAGCGCTCAATATCAGAGATAGAGCTAACATATTTGGTTGGATAGATGTGAGTTTGTGACCCACATCTATCCAACATATATATATATATATATATATATATATATATTCGATAAATTTTTATCATTTTAAACGTTTCTTTTTGTGGATACTCATATTTGAGTAATCATTTATCTAAAAATATCGTAAATTTTATATATATATATATATATATATATGTGTGTGTGTGTGTGTGTGTCTGTGAGTGTGTGTGTGTGTGTGTATATGCGTTATTGCGTGTGGCTATAAATATTCATAAATACGCATCTCTTTGCAAATAGATATACGTGTGTATATTAACGTGCATCTATATAAATGAATTATATACCTAAGCGTACATACACATTCGCAGACACTCAGTCGCTCACACACACACACACACACACACACACACATATATATATATATATATATATACATATATATGTAAGCGTGTATATAATTCGTATATATAAATGTAAGCATGATTATATAAATATTTAAGTATATGTATACATATGTAACTATATATATATATATATATATATATATATATATATATATATGATTCAAATATAGAAATCTATTAGTGTACATTTAAATTGATGGTCAAAGATTAATTTACTGGTAGCCTAGGACTACAAACTAAATTTAGTTCAATAAAAAAAAATAGCAGGAGACAGTAAAGATTAGTCTTAGCCGGTGTTATATATATATATATATATATATATATATATATATATATTCAATTCCGTTGAATTACCGCCGAAACTAATTTTTATTTGTCTTTTGTTTGTAAGAAAAAATAGAATTAAGGGATATACTTTTTTTTTCTACGAGTAGATTCTTATTTAGCCGCGGACGTACCCAATCTGTCTTGACTTTCTGCTGGCTTGCGGCCATATCGCGTTGTAACATCGATTCCTGTACGATCAATGAAGTTAAGCAACATAGTACTTTGATGGGTGACTAGGTGCCGTAATCTTGGATGCGCAAGTGGTGTAACGGATAATGACTCGGAATTGTTAATCGAAGAACCAAATTTTAATTCCAGTTGGGTTCATTATATTCACTTTTCAGGCGCAAATATCCTTGGAGAATGGTATGTATAGACCATTTTTCCCCAAGTTATGGGTTAATAAGTAAGACTTGTGTCATTAAATCGTCATAATTCCCCCCACCACCACCACCGCCAAAAATAATTCTTACAAACTGATGATATTTTCTGGTTTTTAAATATTTTGAAAAGAGTTGATAAGCCGAAAAAAACGAAAAATCAATCAATACATGTCTGCTATTGCATACGCCCATCCATATATATTAAACGCGATATATATATATATATATATATATATATATATATATATATATATATACAATTTAAGGGGCATCACGAGGCGGTGTAATGGTTACCAAGTTTGTCTTTGCTAGAAAAATTGCGGCTGAGTAGGGAGTTTGATCCTTACTGGGTGCCTCCTACTTTCGGCCTTGTGCCGCATCTAAGGTACGCTTGGAAAAGCACTATACATACGAGGTTAAGCCAAAATTTATCCATATTTTCCCTATAACTTATCATAATGCAATCACAACTACGTTGGACTGACGATGTGGCAAGGATGAGTGAGGATCACATACCTAAAGTTCTCTTCTACAGTGAACTCCATGGTGGTCATAGAAATGTTGGTAGACCTTGGCTCAGGTATAAAGATAAAGTGAAAAGCAACTTTTCTTCCTTCAACATTCCATTCAAGAACTTTGAAGAGGTAGATATGAAGAGATCAGAGTATCGTTCTCGCTGCCATTCAGGAATAATGCATCATCAAGAAATAACCATCAGTTGACTACATAAAACACGAAAGCAAAATAAGACAGCTAACCGTGTTCCTGCTGCACTTGGGTACAATACATTCTCCTGTACTGTTTTGTGGTCTTTTGTGCAATTCTCGAGCCGGTTTCAAAAGTCATGCCCGTCAATTGATAATTATTTCGTGGTCGTCGATACCTCAGACATCGAACTCAATGGGGGAGTCCATCATATATATTTCCCTGACGATCCGCTTAGGTGAAACCTGGTTAGGTTTGTCTGGCTCACTAGGTTTATCTATCTATCTATCTATCTATCTATCTATCTATCTATAGATACAGGTCTGAAGCCCAAAGAAAAAACCCCGATACGAGTAACAACTAACTAACAAAAGAGCTCAATACAACCGTAGAGCAGACCTAGATACAACTAGTGAGCCAGACAAACCTACCAAGGTTTCACCTAAACGGATCGTCAGGAAACTTTCCCTGACGATCCGTTTAGGTGTATCTAGGTCTGCTCTACGGTTGTATTGAGCTCTTTTGTTAGTTAGTTGTTACTCGTATCGGGTTTTTTCTTTGGGCTTCAGACCTGCATCTGTGCGATTTTTTGTCGGCAGAAGTCCATGTTTGTAGCTCTTTCTTTTTTAAAACCTTTTTTTTTCCCTCGAGATTGATTTGATTAGCAAATCAAAAAATTCGAGGGTTTTTCGAAACGAGTCTAGTTATCTATATATATATATATATATATATATATATATATATATATATATATATATGCCCCGTTTGGTTGGTCATATTGCAATACCTAAAGTCCTCATGTATAGCCATCTTGAGAAGTGGACAGGGAACAGATGGACTGCCGTGGCTCAGGTATAAAGAAGAGCCAATGAGTAACCTCTCAGTTATCAGTGTGCTTCATACAATAGGGAATTGCTCTGGATATTTATAACTGAAGATATATGTACTAGAGTTGTATCAAAAATTTCGAAATCCGTCGTATTGACCGAAGTTTGAAGATCAGCGCCTTCAGCTTTCATAAGGTATTATAGAAGTATTCTTTGTCTTTTAATAAGGGTCTTTGCAGAAGTTTGCCTTGTATCTATTTGGCACGTTTCGACTTTCACGTGCTCATTCATCAATGAGTGTCAGGTCGCTTTGTTTTTTTCAGCAATCACGTCTTCACACGTCAGCTTGTGGTGTTTTGTTTATTTTTTTAATGAAGATTCGATACTCTAAAACCGACAGAACAGTCTTAATATTGATCGCTTGCGTATTTGACGTCACAACAAAAATGACTGCGAGTATAAAAGGCTGGACAAACAGAGCTGCGAGGTGTAATAAGATTGTTACATGCCAAGGGCAAGAATCCAACATTTAGTCTAAAAGCAACTGAAAGAAGAACGCAAATACCAGCTATTTTCATTTCTTCCCAGCTTTTAGTACATATAAGATGATAGGAGTTTCTGAAACAAATAAATACAGGTAATGAGACCAAGGTGAAGAACATTACCTCGGAAATAAAGATTGATTCCATGACTAGGAATCATCTACCATCACCAGCATAAAATATCCTCCATCACCATCACCACCACCAATACAGAATATCGGCAGACATAGCCACTACATTATCGCGACGGTTAACTTTTTTGCAGTTATCGCCGCATAGTCATGACATGGCCCCTTTAGATGATCACCTTTCAAAAGGAGATTTATCTTAGAATTGGATTCTGATTATCCTCCTTCCCCTCCCCACAATGTCCTTTGAAAAATTGAACATGTCATATTTGTCTACAATCAAAATACATTTATTGATTACATGTTTTCCGTAATTGTCAATGATGACCTGTCTAAGTTCCGGTTTATCATGTCATGAAATGCGTAGATGTAATCGTAAGTTTTATACAAACAGTTTCTTCTCTCACGCTTGTAGAACTCTGTACTTGTTGCTTACATTCTAGTTAAGATTGAATTTAAGCGCAGTACTAGATTGGCAGATAGGTCTCAAAATTTTATAATTGAAATGCGTAGATGAAACCGTAAGTTTTATACTAACAGTTTCTTCTATCTAGCACTTCTTGCGTGTAACCCGACAGAATGATAAAATAAACAAATAAGAAACATTTATCAATCTAATATAAATAAAATCAAATGAATAAGTAATAATGTATTAGATTAATAAACGTTTCCTATTTGTTCTCGATCTTACAAATATGTAAAATTTCAGATGTAATTAAAATATATATCTGTAAAAAGATAATATGAATACAGACAAAAAGAGAGACTTGAGTCCATCAGAAGACGAAATGCGTCGGCAAGCAAATGTTTTCCTTTAGTCTTTAGTCATATATAAATATCTGTGAATATAAAAACCCATATATATATATATATATATATATATATATATATATATATATATATATATATATATATATATATATATGAAAAAATATACTGAAAAAACAAACAAAAATCCTAATATGCGATTATGCTGTTTTAAATGTTTTAATGTCAACGTCGAAAAGACCATCTTTTGGTCATATTCATACGGAAACATCTTTAAAAGATTCCAGTTATTCAATTCATTGCTTTTATGCCCATCGATCATATTTAATTGTAATGAAAAATTTTAATTAGGTTGATCATCTGTTTAAACGGAACTTTTATCTTAAACGTCTTTTTGATTCCATTAAAACAGTATCTGTTAGGATTTTTTGCTTTTTTTTCAATATTTTTTTTTCATACTGTTGATCTATATCTATATATTTTTTACACACACACACACACACACACACACACACACACACACACACACACACACACACACACACACACACACATATATATATATATATATATATATATATATAAGTGAGGTGATTATGAGACAATTTAAGGTTTCTTTTTTAATCTAATTCGCCTCATGCAAAGCAGTAAAGCCAATAAAACAATAAAAGTTATTGGGTGTGAAAAGAATTAGGAAGCAAAAAAAAATTATTAAGAAGCTGGAACAATAGAAGAGTAATCCCGAAGACAGTAGATAGCGATTGGCATTACATTTAAATTGATGAAGATCAAAGTTGGCCGGAAAGCATGAAGCCGTAAGAGAGTTCTACAAGCAAGAAGAGCGAGAAAAGAAACTGTTAGTGTAGAACTTCCGGTTACATCTAGCCAATTCAACTGTATTGATGAGACCTTGTTCTACCAGAATTCATTATTGGCGGCCAGAATCTTAACAATATATGATATTCTGCTGACACAGTGGTGATAGCAGACACAGAAAGAAAAAATAGTATAGTAAAGGAGAACGAGAAGAATGGACTAAGCATCAATTAAGAAAATAAAATACATGGTTGATAGCTAAAGAAATGTTATATAGGAATAAAGTGTCGCTGCCGACACTTGAATTCGAACATAGATCGCTAGGCGATCCCATTATTGAATTAAGTAGACCACGTGACCATGGAGAAAACGCATATATGTAGGAGGTAGCTGACGTCTAATTGATCGTTATTTCTATTCTATCCTCTATTACCATACGGAACACTATTCTCTACTCTATTCACTATACTATTTCTCTATTTGGATCACTATACGGATTACTTTCGAGTGAGTATTATCGAGGAAGTTCTATTAGTTCGAGTAATATTCGAAGGCATATGACACTAGTATTGTTCAACGGTTTAACTATAGTTGTAACAGCGATTATAAAGTCTCTACTACAACGAGCATTACGAAAGTGACAACGAGTCATCACAAAAATAATCAAAGCTAAATAATCGAACTACGGATTGGAAACATCAAAATCAAGCAAGTACAAAAATTTAAATATTTAGGAAGTTTATTTTTTTTAATTAGAAGACGTGGACACAGCAAAAAGAAGTGGCTATATATTTGAAATTGGCGGTGTATATTCAAATTAATATTTCTTCATATTTGTTTTCACTTTAATATATATATATATATATATATATATATATATATATATATATATATAAAGTTGTAGCCTCTGTCTGTCTGTTATCGAACTACTCCTAGGGTATTGGAGATAGACCCGCATAACAATATATATTCTGAAATTGCATTACCCAGGGTACTTGGATAAGTTTTTGGATCAGAGGGAACTCCCGGAGGTGCAAAAATTCTTTTTCCTTTTGATATAAATTAAATTTAAATTTGAACAAAGTAATGACTCCTAGGGTCCTTGGATAAGTGTATTTCATTTTGATCAAAGCGCATCCGGAGGGGGGGGGGTGTCACAAACCCCCGACTGAAAGGAGAAAGTCAGAAGTTAGAAATCATATCGGTAATGTCAAAATGAGTCAATATGGACGTCAAGTTGAGAAAGAAATCACCAATCAGTGGCTTAATAACACTTCATGGTTGAAATCTGCTCAATCAACTATTGAATCAAATACATATTAAAGGGGTCAGATCATTGCTGTTTTGCACAAACACCCCACTGATTTTTTCCCCTTTGATTTAAATTAAATTTAAATTTGAACAAGAGAACCCCTATCCAAAAATATAGAAGGAGAAAGCCAGAAGATGGGGGTCACATCGTTAAGATCATTGAGTAATATTGAAATGCATCATTTTTCTTCACAAATTATAACAATGACTTAAAATCAATCATTTTTTTCTAACAAAAAATATGTGAAATGCAGCAAGGTGAGGGTAATTCGGCTAGTTTAGAATATATTTGCAAACATAGAGGACGAGATAAATATTAAGAATATCATATATATGGATATATGCCAAGAGAAGCTTGGAATCTGAAAGTGACAGTTAATATTGGATATTGGTTTTTATGTCCACACTCTTTATATCTATAAACGACTTCCAATATTGAACACACTTCACTCGAATGTATAGCAAATTTTAAATAATATTACGTATATGTGCGTGTGTATGTTTGTCCGTGCATATGTGTACAATGATTACACATTTTATACGTATATAAATATGAATTGGAATCAAACACAGATCAAATATGGATCGGAATCAAACAGAATGATAAGATAAAGAAAAAATAGGAAACATTTATCAATCTAATATGAATAAAATCAAATGAATAAGTAATAGTGTATTAGATTGATAAACGTTTCCTATTTGTTCTCTATCTTATAAATATGTAAAAATTCAGATGTAACTAAAATATACATCTGTAAAAAGACAGAATACAGGCAAAAAAGATTTGAGTCCATCAGAAGACAAAATGCGTCGGCAAGGAAAAGTTTTCTTTTACTTTTTAGTCATATATAAATATACGTGAATATACATACCCCCCCACATATATATATATATATATATATATATATATATATATATATATATATATATAAAAGAACAGTAAGATATATAATCCGGTGTTCTTACAGATATTTTCATTTTTACATTTTTTTTTTTACTGTTGTATCAATTATTAGTTACGTTTTGGTAGGGGTAGGGATGTATTTTTCAATGAATTCTGACATCCGTTAAATGCATGTCGTCTGGATTTTTTTTTTAAATTTATTCTTAACGGCAAAAATTCTTGCGGCATTTTTTTCTCTTTGTATACTTAAAGTGGGTGTTTAGGTTAGAATACGTTTTATTTAACAACGATTTAAAAAAAAATCACTTTTAACTTTTGATATACTATATTTATTTTAAAACAAGTAAATGTATTAGAATCACTTACAGTATATATATATATATTTATATATATATATATATATATATATATATATATATATATATATATATATATCAGACAGAGAGCGTTTATAGAATATATAGAGAATGGATGGAACAATCAAAATTACTTGGTGAATTTCTTGCATCAATATAATCTTCTGACCAATGCAATTCTTCTTTTAGCGGGTCGTATTTAAACAGTTTTTGTATATAGGTTACTATTTTCAATTCCTGACAGTCACCACGTAGTGTTCATTCTTCTGTCCAGAATCTATCTATCTATCTATCTATCTATCTATCTATCTATCTAAATGATTGTGACTCTAAAAACCGCATATCTTATGATGTTCCTCCACAGATTTTGGTGGTATTGCAGTAGAGCTCGAATCTTCGCACCAATAGCCTATTTAATTTATTGTAAATTATATCAACTAAATTACTCTTTGTCAAAATGGCGTCTGACATGAAAGTGCAAAAGATTAAGTAAATAAGTGCACGCACAGATATTCGTCGACGCTTACTGAATGGTTAAAGAAACCAGACAGTGGACGTGAGCTCAGTAGAGCTGTAGATAATTTGTTTCAGTAGTAGAGAGTGATTTGTGTTACAATCCCTGTTTCGGCAGATAAAAGATACACTATGTGAACATTTTCATAACGACTCTGCTTCTGTGACAAAAATAGAGAAATAATGTTTTTGCTTATACGAGAGTGTCAAAAATTATCCGTACTTTCGTCATAACTTAGCTTTAGGTTCGTAACACTGCCTTCAGCACATAATTGGTACTATTCTGGTGACGTGATCGCCCCAGTTTTGTTGCTACTGTTACATTGTAAACATAGCCACTCCCCTAGTAGTGTGCACCAAGGAGGTACAAAGAGCATAGATCTGACTTTTTCTGGTCGGAAGGTGTTTGATATGCTGAAATTCACCGGATGCTTTTAACACAATACCGCGATAGTGTTCTACCGCGTAGAAGTGTGTATGAGCGGTTCGGGAATTTTAAAAATGGACTGACAAGCGTGGCCTAAAAAGAAGGATCAGGGACGTCGGTCAACTTCCACCACTGACGAGAAGATTCAGCAAGCTCGAGAGATGGTGATGGCGAACCGGCAAGTTATAATCGATGAGGTGGCATGTTTCCTGCTGATTCCGATCACTGCTCTGTGTTCCTTCTTGTTGCACACTGTTAGCGTAGCGGCCATGTTTACACTGTAAGAGCAGCAAGAAAATTGGTGCGACCAAGCTCAAACTTCGATCACGTGACCACAATAGTACCAACTATAAGCACACATGAGCTGAAGGCAGTTTGACAACGCTAAAGATATGTTATGGTTAAAGTGGGGATAATATTTTACTTACTCTCGTAATATTGTTTCAAATTGGCTAAATTTATGGAGGAAGATTGATCAATATCAGCGAGAGTGTTTGTAGCTATAGAGACTGTGGATGTAGGAATCAACAATACTACATGGTGACTATCAGTTTTCACGTCACAATGCGAACTCAAGTTATCTATCTATCTATCTATCTATCTATCTATCTATCTATCTATCTATCTATAACAAGTGAGTGTTGTTTAAAGGCAAATAGAACCGTTATTTATTGTAGGCTACATAATGCGGTGGATCCTCCTGCAAAGGCGGTGGCGGGGGGAGGGCGCAGGCTCGAATCCCGTTGGAAGGCACATGTTCTTTAATACGTTTTCTCGAGTATGCATGGCAATAGAAAAGTAAATATTGTTTAAAATAAACGGAAATATGGGTATCCACTAAAATAATTTTTGAGGTACTACTACTCCTACTATTACGCACACACATACAAACACACACACACATGCACACACACACACACACACACCCATATATATATATATATATATATATATATATGTTGTAGCCTTGTTAGAGCCAGAAATAAAGACACAAGAGAGGAATTGAGTTAAACAATTATATTAACAGAAAATAGTAATACAAACATATACAAACGAAAGTGTTACAGCAAGAATGTTCGTCTGGCTGTCAGAGCTGACTGCTGGGAAATTCCCTCTACAAAAGGCAGTACCAGCTCCTATTTATAGCTGGGAGAGTCCATGCGTGTATGGGTAAATTATCATAACAATATATATATATATATTTTTTTTTTTCCTTTCATTTCGTTGTTGGAAGTGTTACCTGATGATCCGGAGTCCTTCAAAAAGGATTTTGGTGAAATAAATTATTGTAATGGTACCTTAAAGTGGTCTGTTTTTTTTTCATTATATATATATATATATATATATATATATATATATATATTACAGTGAGTTTCACTCTGTACAAGGTCTGGGGCTACTCGGGTTAGAGTGTTACATTTGGAACATATATGGATAGGAGAGGAAGGTAACGGTTAACCCTAACCTTGAACAGGTTAAGATTGCAGTCATCGGGAAACATTCTCTTGGGAGTCGGTTCCATACAGCAGTGGTTCTTAAGAAGAAGCTGTTCGCGTGGACCTTACTTCTCACCGATAGAATACGGAAGGGATATGGGTGGTTTGCTACAGTTTAAGTGGCATGGCGGGTCCTTCGCGCGAAGATTAGGCCTAGCGGTACCAAGGAATGTAGTTCGTCCGTGCACTTTCCGTGAAAGTAGCGACAGATCAGCGAGGAGCTTGCAACATTTCATTTTAAACTTTGAAATTAATGCCCACTAATCGTGTGATATTAATTTCACTGTCATTTCACATTAATATTCTTCGGCCGAGAGACAATTATTTCCCTTGTTTAAGGTTTGGCTTGTTTAACAGCATATCAAAACCTTATGGGTCATTTAATGAAGAAATTTATTTTCTTTTGAGCTTTGGTATTTTAAAAAAAAATATTTCCCCACTAATGAATTGCTGGTTATTTTTTAGTTTTTTTTTCTTACAAAAACGTTTTGCTGGTAATTTTTTCTAATTTATTTTTTTATATTTTATGTTTTAACCCCATTTTGCGGGTTTACCATTTGTCCATAGCTGGGATCCTAAAATGTGCCACCACCCCAATTCAGGGTGGACCTGAAAACAACAGCAATTAAGAGGTGATTCCATGTTCCTAAAAACCTCCTGATCAGTGGCCTTGCTGCCGTATGTAGTTTATCGTCATACCCAGGACGAAACATGTTTAAAGGGGAAATTAGTGATGTTCATTCAAACAGATGTACACACTAAATGCTATGTTTATAGTAAATGGTAATAATGTCGGATTTAAAAAAAAATAATTGTTTCAAAATATAAGCCTATATATGCATACACACACATTTAAACATGTTTATATATATTGCACGTACGCATGCATAGCCCACACAGAACAAACATTAAAACATGTATATTATTAAGTAAAAATGTACAAACTTATACTTATAATCCTGCATATCCTGACATAATTTTATACTTCAGACCTCGTCTAGCAACTATGTATACGTGTGTATTACAAACACAAAATACACATATACACACACACACACACACACACACATATATATATATATATATATATACATACATATATATATATATATATATATATATATATATATATATATATATATATATATATATATATATATATATATATATATATATATATATATATATATATATAAAATGCTATCTGCCAAAATAGAAACAATTCTATTACTTAATTATCCTGCAATGTAATATTTACAAAGTCCCATCGATTTCTTAATGTACATTCGAAGGATATTTACAGACACAAACAAATGTGCAGACGTCAAAACACTTTTTTAATATCGAAAAGAATCTGGCCTTATAATTTATATTCATTTCTTCTTTTTTTCCTTCTTCTTCTTCCTCCTCTTTTTCTTCCTCCTCTTCTTCTTCTTCTTCTTCCACCTCCTCCTCCTCCTCTTCTTCTTATTATTATTATTACCAGATGTACCCGTGAATATTTTACAATTTTCCTATTTGAATGTTCTGATAAATCTTAATTCTTCAGTTAATAATTATTAATAAACCCATGGCGACTTATGCGATGATAAAAAAATATCTGTTGCATCGTAAAATATTTGAGCTTAACAACTTTAACAAAATATTTCAATAAAAATCATAAATATGAAAGCTGTTCGTTATTTAACAAATAAGGGCTACAAATGAAAAGATTTGAAGTTGATAACTTTTTTCATTTCATTCAAACAGACGTTAAACACTTCTCTCTTCTTGTATCTTCTTTCTTTCTTTCTTTTTCTCACTAAAACCAATCTGATATGTCTTTTCCGTCTTTTCATGCGATCAAAACCGAATAGACCATTGTTTATGAGGTATTGGCAGGAGATGTTAAACATATCAGTGTTTGTTTGTTTTTTTGTTTCTTTCTTTTTCCCCATTTAAATCAAGTAGCATCTCTGAAATGTCTTTTCCGGTTTTTCCAAAGGCATGAATCCTTCTTACGAAACAACGAAGGTGTCGACACGATTTTGGTCAGAATTTGAACTTATACGTCTATTTCATTTTCTATATCAATAACCGTTAAGTCACCTCCACGTCTGAAAAAAGTACAAATGCGTGAATATACTCTGCATTAGTTCTTTATCAGGTATGGCTTCACAGGTTCGTTGTTTTTTTTTGTGTGTATTTCTGTCTTCTTACTTAGCTTCCTTCCTCCATTCGTTACTCACTTTATTAGATTCTGTTTCCTTTTCTCGGTCAATTCTGTTTCTTCTTCCTTGCCAATTCTGTTTCCTTTTCTCGGCTATTTCTGTTTCCTTTTCTCGGCCATTTCTGTTTCCTTTTCTCGGCCACTTCTGTTTCCTCTTCTCGGACATTTCTGTTTCTTCTTCCTTGCCAATTCTGTTTCTTTTTCTTGGCCAATTCTGTTTCCTTTTCTCGGCCAATTCTGTTTCTTCTTATCTTTTCTCGGCCAGTCACCACTCGACCCGAAAGATATTTTTGCTTCAGATTCATTCGCCTTCTCTTGTTCGTCCTACGTCGATTATCTTTACCTTCCAATAATCCCACACGATCGCTATTGACGATGATGCTACATGACGGAAAGCCAAAGATAGAATCCAATTGTTCCGCCGGCCAACTCACTGCAGGTCGACAGCAGAAGCAGTCTAAAAATCTCTTCTTGAAAAAAATCCTTTAATTAAGCGAATTACTAAAATGTTTTTAACTGAATATTAAAAAGTGAATAAAAATAAGAATAAGGATAAAGAGAAAGAGGGTAACAGAGAGAAAAAAGAAAGGATGTGGAAGTTGATAAAAGAAAGGAGAGAAGAAATCAGGATTAAGAAAGAGTCTGAAGAAATTAAACAAAACGAGAAACAGAGACAAAAATTAAGAAATGTTGGTAACATATTCTGGATATACGAGGGTCGTTCAATAAATAAAGTGAATTTTTCGGTATAAGGACTTCTAATACAGATAGAAGCTTATTTTTTATTTTTCAACGTAGTCTCCCAAAACTGTCACACACTTTTCCCATCTGTGCACAAGCTTCCGTATTCCCTCAGCGTAAAAATCTTTGGACTGATGTCTCAGCCAGTCGCTCACAACACTTTTGACTTCATCGTCACTTTTAAACTTCGTGCCTCTCGTGAACGCTTTCAAGGGACCAAACAGGTGAAAGTCTGAAGGGGCAAGGTCTGGACTGTAAGGGGGATGAGGGAGCAGTTCCAAGCCCAGCTCGTTGATGGTCTGCACCGTTTGGGCTGCTGTGTGAGGCCTTGCATTGTCATGATGCAATATGACTCCTTCTGACTGATGACCCCTGCGTTTGTTCTTTATGTCTTTCTTGACCAGCCTCAGCAGTTCACAGTAGTTCTTCTGTCAGACTGAATGAGGTCATTGAGTGATTCGATCACCTCAGGAGACCTCATTTCTGTAGGCCTCGCAGGCCTGTCTTTATCCTCAACACTGCTCCGTCCTTCTTAAAACAATTTAGCCCACTTGTAGACATTTTTTTGGCTGAAACATGTGGCACCATACACAGTTGACATTCTCCTATGAATTTCAACTGGTTTACACCCTTCAGCAACCAAAAACTTGATAACTGACCGCTGTTCAATCCTGGAGCATGCATCTTGGTCGGCCATCTTTGTTAATCGCCAAAACTTTCAAATTTTTTTTTTTAATCTGCAAAAGAAATTAAATCCATGTGAAAAAGAAGTAAAACAAAAAATAAAAAGTAAGCTTCTATCTGTATTAGAAGTCCTTATACCGAAAAATTAACCTTATTTATTCAATGACCCTCGTAGATATGTATTAAAGAATATCACGCGTAATTCCAGCTTATAGTATATATCCTCATTAAAATATTTATAACAATTTGTTCTGAGGCTACCTAGTGTTTTATGCAAACAAAAAGCTTTATAATTAAACCCAAAAGATTTGTGTCATGAAAACATATATTTAATTAACATCATATCCTATATATCAAACCAAAGTAGAAAGTGTTAGCATAGAATTTACGGTTACATCTAGCCAGCTTGTGAAGCTATTTATTTGCTGTCCTTAGAACATTTGATGTGCGTGGGGTGGTAGGTGGACTATAGTCAATGTTAAGAACTTTATCTTGTAGGTATATATAATTTAGCTTATAATGTTTTAATGTAACCGGTACTATTTAAAAAAATCTACAAGTAGTTACAATATTTTTTGTATTTAATTTATTCAGTTAAAGAACCTAATATCCAGAAAAGAGAAAGTTGAAATGCTATGGACATGTCTGACGACCAAAGTTTTGCCACTGCTGTCATAGAAAGATCAACATTAGTCAAGAGAAGAGGCAGATAAAAGTAACAATGACCTGACAACGTTACTGAATGGATTGGAACCGAATCATATGGAGGGAAATGGTCAGGTGCTTAGCTGCGCACAGACCCTACAACCGCATCTGTTCATGAGACATGATGATGATGATGATGATGATGATGATGATGATGATGATGATTAATTACACTCTTAACCAATGTAAAAGAAAAAGAAGCCATATCGGTGAATATCACTGCCCCAAGGGAAAACAGCGTAAAAATGAAAGAGATGGAGCGGCTTCAAAAAATCTAGGAAGGAAATGAAACGATGGCGGAAAATGAAGGCGAGAGTCATAACGATAATTATACGATTGCTTGGAACAGTCCCGACGAGACTTGCGACGAGATTGTTCAAATGACTGAAAATGGTGGAAAAAGGGTAACACGCAGATAACAATATTCCTAAAATCAGTTGGAATACTGAAAAGGGACTTGCTGTCACTTGGACTGCAAGGAGTGAAACGGAGAAATATCAGAAGAAAATAGGAGCGAGCGAGCGAGCGAGCGAGCGAGCGTGCGTGTGTGTGTGTGTGTGTGTGTGTCTTGTGTGTGTGTGAGAGAGAGTTTATTTAAATTCAGGTGTAAGTAAGAGAGAAAAAGAGATACTGTAAGAAAGACAGAAACAAGAAATGGAGTGATATATATAGAGATATCTATCTCTACATATCTCTCTTCATTTATATATATATATATATATATATATATATATATATATATATATATATATATATATATAATTATTTATTTAAAAATATGATTCCATCGTTGCATAAGAGTTCTCATGTTTCAAAACAAGAGCCGAAATTTAAGATTTTACGCGGCATATATTTTCCAATGGGCAGACTTCTGGGTTTCTTGCCGACATCATCAACTTTTCGCATTGAATAATTAGCATAAAAAACAAACAAACAATAAAATAATAAATACAAACTTTAAACCCCATAGTCTAAATAAAAAGTTTAAAAACCTTATAATAATAATAATAATAATAATAATAATAATAATAATGAAAAAACCATTATGAAGTCGTCAAAAAACAAACAAATGTTAGCGAATTATGATAGTTTTTTATATACACAAAACCCTTTCAGGAAAAAAAATAAACTAAAAAAAATAAATAAATCTCCATAGACACTTAACCAGACTAGACGATGTCATCTTCCGCTTTGAATTTAGACACCCCAACGTTGACCTCTTTGAATGTAACTGAGATATTGATACAAATTATTAACCCTTACCATTTTTTTAAAATAATTGCTCTAGCCGTTACCATAGTAATTTAATTCTAATAATGAATATGCTTATAAAAACGCGTAAATATTAAGAATTAGTTATTCAAAAAAAAAAAAAAAAAAAATTCGCTTGAAATGGAACAGAGTTTGGTACTTCAAATTTAATTCAATTTAATTCAAATAATTATACTGAAGTTTTCGGCTCTTGTTTTGAAATATGAGAACACTTATGTAGCGGTGTAATCATATTTTTAAATAGATAATTATATTTAGGCTCTACTTTTGTATCGAGCACTGTTTTTTAAACTTTTGATTATTTACCTAACAAGTTCTTTCCTATTTTCTATATATTTTCACACACACACACACACACACACACACACACACACACACACACACACACACACACATATATATATATATATATATATATATATATATATATATATATATATATTTGGCATCGAGTTTCGATCCCGGTTTGAAGCAATATGATTCTAGCCACACTGATGAGCTTTAATACATCGAAACAGGTTTGTATGCGGATGACTATATATATATATATATATATATATATATATATATATATATATATATAAATAAAGAGAGAGGGGGAGAGAGAGCGTGAGGGTGGATAAAAAGAGAAATTCGTAAATGGATAAACAAAAGAGGAGGAAGGTAAGGCTCGAGAAAGAGGGAGAGATATATACGAGGAAGGACGAAGAAAATTCATCCGAAGTAATGGAAGAAGAAGAGATAAGACTAAGAGAGATACCGAAGCAAAGAGAGAAAAAGAGAGAAAAGAGGGCAGAAAAAAGGGAAGAAAAAAGGAGAGAGAGAGAGAGAGAGAGAGAGAGAGAGAGAGAGAGAGAAGAAGTAGAAGATGAAGAAGAAGAGGAGGAGCAATGAAATTTAATGAAGGAATTGATCGCACTTGATTGGCCCGGATTTTAAGAAGACGTAGTTAGGATTTATCAAAATCAAAAAAAACAATAAACGAATCAAAAACTCGACAAACACTGACGAGAAGGCAATGATTAAGAAAAGAAGAAATAAACATTACACCAACTTCAAATAACATTTAACATATGTGAACATCTCCGAGGATTTTTAACATACTACTAACAGCCTAACAAAGCTCACTATGAGAAGAGCTGGTGACTTTTTTTTTATCGAGTTCACTCCAAGCAAGGCAGTAAAGCCACTAAGACACAAAAGATTAATGAGTGGGGAAGAATTAGAAAACAGTAAAATTGCTAAGGAACGAAATCTAAAAAAGAGAAATCAGGAGGATAGCAGATAGCGATTGACAGTACATTTAAATTTTTGGAGCTTAAAGTTGTCTCGAATGCATGGAACCGGAAAGGATTTTTACATGTGAGAAGAGTTCGAGAAAAGAAAGTGTTAGCATAGAATTTACGGTTACATCTAGCCAGCTTAACTGTAAATTGGTAAGACATAGTCACCACTCTAGTACTGCGTTTAAATTCAAAGAGTCTAGGCGCCATTTCGAAGAGCCTATCCAAACAATTGTAATTAAAATATCTATAGTAAAGGCAAATGGAGGTAATCTTACGGGAAAGTTACTGAAGGCGAGATTTCAGATCAGGGCCATTAATATTTCTGATTCATCTTTGGATTTTATTAAAGAGCACTACATAAATAACAGAAGCAGTAAATAATATGTGGCAACAGTATTTTAAACATGGGCGGATGGTAGACTTATAGATATGTAAGATAGACTCTGGAGAGAAAAGTTGTCTAGCACGACACAATGAACATAGCAGCTGATCACACAATGTGTTTAATATAGTATTTCTATTTCATATCAGCGTTAGACAACGTTAACCCAAGAGCTCCTGGAGGTCAGCATCAGCCATGCTGATGGAAGGCAAAACGGGGTCTCTCAGATGGTTAATAGAGAACAGTTTAGTTTTGGAAACGTTAAAATTAACAACATGCCAACCTTCGCCCCAGTAACTACAAGCTGAAGGTCGTTTTGGATATCAGCTGCCATTTTAACCCTATCAAACTGATCAAACTTACTATCGAGACAGGAGTAAACGGAATCATCGTAGATACCCGATTGAGAGGGAAGGTCATTAATGAAAATGAAAAACAAAATAAGACCAAGGATGGAGCCCAGGGTGAGGTGGGTACCTGCTTAGTACGAAAGGAAGTGGAACAGTGGCCGCTTAGGATTACTTTCATTTCACGATTGAAAAAGAAAGATTGGGTGAGTTAATAAAATTGTCTCTAGACACCATAATTTTTCAACTTGTGGAGAAAACCTGCATGTCAATCCCTGTCAAAGGTTTTCAGGATGCCCAATAATTATATATTAAAAAAATAACGGTATGGGTAAGGCACAAAACATATCACGCTATCATTATAGTTATATCTAAGAGAGTAACTAGATATGTATGTGTGCGTAGCGGTTATCGACACCGAGTTCAAATTCTGGAAGAGTTCATTGCGCTCATTTTCACGCAAACATTTTTGCGAAAGGTATAAATCCATCACATCTTCCTGACTTCTCAGCTACAGATTAAATACCCCGCTTATAAAAATGGCGTTTCTGCAACGTTACATAGATGTTGCAAAAACGTCTCTTTGTAAACACTCTACAACGGGCCCACAACGTTATCTTGTAACGTTGCAAACAAGTAGCTTTTAACGTTACATTAAGAGAAAATGGATAATACATACCAGGAAAATATTAGAACGCGCATTCATCATCAAAATGAGTGAATGTCAATTAAAGAAGAATATGAAAAGAAATTGAATACTTCTATTCGTATTGCTAAGCATTCTGATGTTAATTGACCAGTTCGAAATTTTTCAGCTACAGACCAGTTGCCATAATGCTGTGACAACGTTGGCGATGAGCAGTCAATTTAGGGGTCATAAAAATAGTTGATTGTAACATTATAGTAAGGACGCCAAAATGTCGCTTATCCCCTGATACAACGTGTCTGCAAAGTTGCAAGAACCTTAATTTTAGCGAATACCGGTGTTTCAAATAAACTCCTCCGCACACACACACACACACACACACACACACACACACACACACACACACATATATATATATATATATATATATCTTACTTTTGACTTGTATCGGTTTTCACCCTGGTCGGGTTGAACCGGCTTCCTCCCGAGCAAGTACAGCATCACGGACCATCGCTGCCCACGCTCGCCGATCCTGAGCCAGGTCACACGAAATGGCGAGCCAATCGCGATTCCATCGTCGAAGACCAACTACTTGTGCTAGCCCACGTCCTCAGCTGCCCACCGACACCTTTTTCGCCAGCCAGGAAGAGAAGGAGGGAGAAGTACACCGCGGATGAGCTCTCCCTCCGGGCGTCGAGCTGTGTTTCGAACCATCGGAGACGACGCTGGAGCAGGACGGGTGGAAGAGGACGGAGACTCAGGTGACGACGTAGAGTGGCCGTGGGCACACGATCGATTCGGCGGCATCGTAGAATGCAGCGAAGGCAATCGTTGTTGAACACTTCAAGCCTTTGTAGGTCAACCGCTCTAAGTGGCCACATTTCGCAGCCATAGGGAAGGATAGTCCGAACAATAGCCTGATAGATGCGCCCCTTCGTAGCCGTGGAAATCTCCCGTCGCCCCCATAGTGACCGCTTAAGACGCACGAATGCGGACCTTGCAGCTCCTATACGGCGTTCAACCTCAGCAGTAGCCTGCCCGGATGGTATAATGGTTGAACAGTGATAGAGGAAAGACTGCACGTCCTCCAGATTGACCCCATCCAGCGTCAGTGGGCTGCCAGTTGACTGGATCAATCAGGTACGGCATAACTTTGGCGGTATAACTTCGGTCTTCGAGTCATTGATGGTCATACCCACATCCCGTGCTGCAGATTGCACACAGTTGAGCGCAGCTTGCGCACGGTTGAGCGCAGCTTGCACATCGTCACAGTTCGATCCGCCCGAGTAGATCAGACACCCTGACATTCCGACCAACCGCAACTCCAGCGTAGTCCCGAAGAGCCTTGCCGAGGATGTAGTCGATTATATAGTTGAATAGGGTAGGGGATAGGGCACACTCTTGCCGCTCACCAGTCTTCCCCTCAAACGTCTCCGACTCCTCACCATAAGCCCGAACACGGGCTCGCGTCGATGGGTAGTAGTAAAGAGTTTAGCGGGCATGCCATCGGCTATATATATATATATATATATATATATATATATATATATATATATATATATAGTCATTCAAGGCAGCCTGTTTCGCTGTATCACAGCTCATCAGTGTGAATAGGCACCTGATCCCGATTGCTTCAAGCCGGGATCGAAACTCGACCGTTTTGACATCAATCAGAGACACTATTTACATTATTCGGACTATTGTCCTCATTTTTTTGCCATATTTATTACAATGTTTCGGCCGTTGTACGCTGCGGCCTTCTTCAGGTGGTTGGAATGTCGAACTGAACCGTTTATTTCGCTCACTGGGGTAGACTGTTCTAGTTCCACGTGCCATGTCTAATGGATGTCAGTTATCTGTTATCTCCTGTTAATTCCCATCTCCAAGTTCTCCACCGCCTTAACTCACACTCTTTGGGAACCTGTCGCTAGATCTAATTAACGCCTTTATCCACTGTGTCATGTGTCCTTGAGGAGATATAGATAGATATCAATCAGAGACTCTTACTCTTAGGCTATTGGCCCACGGTAGAAAACGGGAATTTTTTAATGTATTATATACGTGCTATATAAACGCCATACGTGCTGCCATACTGCTGAATTCTTATGAAGAGCAACGTAGTAAAGCAGCATCAGCAGCCGTTAAAGATTCCCTTTTCTTCATAGAACTCAATCGGCGATTTTAAGCAATTCACCCCGATCAAGACGGAAGTGCGACAAGTACGCAAGGAGATACAGAAATTGTAAGTAAGGGTATAGGGGTGAGGTTGAGGAAAGGATGAAAAGAAAAACGGGGGTGGGAGGATAAAAAGGGGATCAAGACAACAGAAGATGTCGATTGATATTATATTTAAATTTTTGAAGATTATAATTATCAGGGGAGGAAGTAAGAGGAAGGGAGTTCCACTGTCGGGAAGTGCGAGAGAAGAAGCTGTTGGAGTAGAAGAGGTGGTTACATTTTCTTTAACTGTTTCGACAGTAAGAGGGTGGGACTGAGATCACAACCTAGTAGCACTCTTAAATTCATTTCAGTCGGGGCAACAGTGAAAATAGCTCGTCATAGCAGATGCCATGAAAATATTTATAGAAAAGACAGAGGGAAGCTACATTAGGTCGGTGAGAAAGTGGCAGGCGTCGAGACTCTCAGTCAGGATCGATCACATTGCATATCTGTCTTTTGTCGAGAACCTCGAGATTAACAGCGGGAGCAACAGACCATATATATATATATATATATATATATATATATATATATATATATATATATATGTGTGTGTGTGTGTGTGTGTGTGTGTGTGTGTGTTCATATAAATAGTAGGTCCTTACTTACATTAAATATTCGTTAATTTTTATATGTTTATCTTAAATTTGTAACCTGTATACATCGGTTCTCTTATAAATGCCCTTCGTTTTTAGTTTGCCCTCCCCCTATCTTTCTTTCTCTCTCTCTCACTCTCTCTCTCTCATCTGGATTTTAAGTTTAGATCATATCGTTTTTTATTGTGCGTAGTGTCACCACAATTGTATACACACGTTTACGGTATCTGTTATTTATTTTAATTTAGGTCAGCGAATCGGTAGCGAATTATGCATCGAAAAATAATTAATAATTATCTGTATCTCACTCATTTAAATCGTTATTTAACTCCTCTCTTTAAGACTTCTCTCTGTTAAATTTTAATTCCTACCTTCACCTTTAGGGCTTCCTGTTCTTTCTTCTATTACACCCCCTCTCTAGAGCTTTCATACATTTCCCTCTCACACTTGTTTCCCAATCCCACACATACACTTTCGCTAAAATTTCATTTTTTATACCCGGAGTTATATTTTCCGATTTCTTTTTGAATTTGTAGGTCTGATGAATTGGATCGTGATTACGATTCCAATATAATAAATTATAACCATGGAATATTAGTGTTTGAGTCTTTTTTATTATATTCTTACTCTGTCCTGGACATTGAGTACTATCTGGATTTTATCCTCTTGGAAATATATATATATATATATATATATATATATATATATATATATATATATATATATATATATGTGTGTGTGTGTGTGTGTGTGTTGACCACTAATATTATATATATATATATATATATATATATATATATATATAGGTAAGCAAATATATGGATATAGATCCGACAGTATGAAGAAAATATACAGAAAAAAAAGAAACAAATTTCCTAATATGCAATTATGTTGTTTTATATATATATATATATATATATATATATATATATATATATATGGAGATAGATTGAGTGAGGTGGATATAGATATAGAAATATATATTATGCTAATGTAAATATCAGGTAATTACAGTAAACAACTGGTCCCCCATTTTATGTCCATTACTAATTCATATGCGTTCTAGTTTATCTAATGTCATCAACCCAGCATAACGTTGTTACAGCATTTCTATGCCGTTACTTATTGGATGCTATCCACCTGGGGAGGCGACCCCAGCATTTGGCACCCTTGGAAATTACCTGAAGACGATACCACGTGCCAGCCCAAGCCTCGTAATGGAAATTCGGTAGACGGATTTATTTGTGAGCCGTCGATGGTTGAGCCTATTGCCCTTATTAGGATTGTTGATCACGCCAGATAATGCGTTCTCTCCCGGAAACTGTAACTAAGGTCTACTCAACATAGTTGCAATATAAAACACTGGTTGGCTTTGTGGGTGTTGAATAGACACGAAATTCACCTGAGCAGGCGTCTGCAATATGGATTGGAGATGAGCGGCCAGTTTAGGCACCAGGAAAATAATTGGTTGCAACGTCGCCACAGCATTACTTATCTTCCAGCCAAAATAAAACTTGTTTGTAACGTAACTAGGACGTTTCATTTTTGCTGGAATATCAGAGTAGACTGATTTTGCAGTTAGTGGGTCACGATGAAGTTTTAGAGAAAATAGAAAAAGGAAACTGGTAATTAACATCAGGAAGAGGCAGTTGAAATTTCTAGGGCACATAATGAGGAAAGAGGGCTTGGAAAATCTGATACCCATAGAGCAGATTGAAGGCACGGAGGAAAACAACGCATAACCTACTTAGTGAGGTTGAATAAATGGATGATGGAACAAGACTTAGGAGAGATGACAAAAAAGACAAAATTCATTAAGAGTTACAAAGGACAGGAAATTGTGGAGAGCCATGATTGTCAAGCTCCTGAAGGGGCACGACACAAAGAAGAAGAAGAATTGCGTTTATATATATTGGGTTGTCTGGAAAGTTCACGCCGATTTCTCGTCAATGTTCCAACACGTTATTTTTTATAGTAATTTTCCAAGCATAGCTTAGATGTGGCACAAGGCCGAAAGCATGGGGCACCCAGTGAGGATCGAACTCACTACCCAGTCGTAATTGTTCTAGCGAGACAAACTTGCTAACCATTACAACGCCTCGAGGTGCCCACACGTTATTTTTTATATATTACTATCGATTAATCACTCCAGTTTATGAATTTCAATTATTTTTTACATTTTAGAATCTCACGTTGATTGATTGATTTCAGGTTTTTACGAGTCATCAACCTTTTTTAGGTTACTTAAAGCCATAACATATTTTAGAGTATAAGAATATTTTTGGCGTTAACAATGATTTATGGTTACAAGTCCTTCTAATTAAACCACAACTCGGGTGGATTCAGACCTTACCCAAAGGTATTTGTGCGTAAGGGAATATAAAGAACTCAAATGGAGTTGGCCCTCAGCTCTCCGAGCCGTTATACATCACCCGCACTTCTAAGCTTACAGCACCTGGTATCCTGAAGTGGTCACTCATCTTGGTACTGCCCAATCTTGACGTTGCTTAACTTCGGTGATCATACGGGAACCGTTGTTTCAGCGTGATATGGCTTTAAGCCTCAAGTCGTATGTATATATTTGTTTTGATTTTCGAGTTTAATTTGCAATGAATTTGCGTAGCAAACTGGACCCTGTGTTAAATTATATAAAATTTAATTAAAAATTTAATTTGCAATAAATTTGCATAGCAAACTGGACCCCTTATTGAATTTTATAAAATTTAATTAAAAATCTAATTAAAAAGAAGAATTGATATTCGCCATTTGAAATGCTTAATTTATAGTATTATGAAAGAATTTAAAAAAAAAAAAAAAGAAGTTTATTATTTCTGGTTGCAGTGTTTTTATTGTCCAATTCTAGAAAACCTAAATTCTGGAGATCAATCTTCTAAGCAGTACACACACCATTGCACTCAAAGAAATACTTTAAGAATCATGCCACTGCAACTGCTTGTTTTATTTCCTCCCGGCCACGCACAGATTCGTGTTCGTTTTTCATGATTTTAAAAGCCAAATACTGTAAGCAGGAGAAACAGTAAATATGACCTGAAGACGACATTTAACTTGTAAAATCAACTCACACAGAATACCATAATTCCCTTTTAACATTGATAAAGAATGGATAACAGGTCAGAATTAGACATCGGAAGGCTGAGGGCCAATTCCATTCGGGTTAGTTATATTCATTTCCGCGCAAATACTATTGGGAAAGGTATGAATCTACCCCAGTGATGGTTTAATTAGTATGACTTGTATCAACAAATCATTATTAGCTCCAAAACATATTCTTAAAATCTAAAAATATTTTAAGTAAGCTGAAAAAGGTTGATAACCTGTAAAAATACAAATCAGTTAATCAGTCAATTACACGACGTAAATTCTAAAATGCAAAAAAATAATTAAAATTCTTAACATGGATTGATTAATAGGTAATCATATATATAAAAAAGAACACCCGATTACGAATTTATAAATTAAAAAAAAATTGAAATTCGTAATATGGATTTCTTTAAATTTATAATAAATCACGTAATGATGAGAAGATTAGTTTTATTTTCCGTAGGAGGTGATCAGTTTACAATGAATTTACATAGCAAAATGTACTCCACTTAGCCATTATGAAATTTAATAATTAACATTGATAGTGACAAGTAGGGAGTAGTAGTAAGATAATGGAGACGAGAAAAACGTAGAGTGAAACGGGAGAAACTAAAATTAGAAGGGAAGAAGAAGAAGAAGAAGAAGAAGAAGAAGAAGAAGGGAAGAAGAAGAAGAAGAAGAAGAATCAACATAAGGATAGCGAAAGAAAAAGAAAGAAAGAAGACGAACAAAAAGAATAAGAATTTATATAAGGATAGTTGAAGAACAAAAGAAGGACTGATAAGGATAGTGCAAAATATAAAAGAAGTAGAATTGATAAAGACTAGTGAAAGAAATAATAATGATAATAATAATAATAATAATAATAATAATAATAATAATAATAAGAAGAAGAAGAAGATAATAATGAAGAAGAAGAAGAAGAAGAAATGGTGTGGAATGGGAAAATAATAGGTTAACTTCATATGCCTGTATTAGTAAGGATGTGACAGTAAGTTCTTTTCATAGTCGACCCATCCATAACCACTTCTGAAAGGGGAAGACAAACATTAGACTTTTGCTCCGATTGCCAATATATATAATACGACTCATCAATATGCATTGATGAAGTGGATAATTTGTGAAACCACTTATCATTTTTGTATCCATTTTCACTAAGACTTCGTCATGTTCAGTCTATGGTATCCTCAGTAACCTTCTGCAGAGCCACATTTCTATTGCTTACGTCTCTTCATCTGTTCATGAGATTGTCTAGTATTCTCAGCAAGCGATATTACGTAACCGTTCAGTTTTTCTTTGTTTCTAATAAAATTTTCCTGTTTCTTAATACTTACAATTTAGAAAATAATATTGTTTAGATTTTGATTTAGTTTTCTTCGGCACTGAAATTTTTGGACTCTTCGAAACTGAATGGTGAGTATTTATAGAGATGTGTTCCTCTCTCACAATAAAACCGAGAAAGTCAAGTTAAGAAATTGCTTTGAAAGAAAAAACTTATATATATATATATATATATATATATATATATATATATATATATATATATATATATATATATATATATATATATATATATATAAAAAAAAAAAACATAGGTAATAATTAATATATAAAACACATTTTTATGTTCAACAATCTTTTTTATAGATACAAATATTTAAGTAAATGCTCTGTTTATGATAAACAGTATTAAATAACATTTACCGGCCTGAAAGTCCGAGAAATTTTCATAGAAAATATTCGTTCTTTGACAGGATTCGAACCTGCATCCCATACGGAACAGTCATTTACGCTGACGTGCATTAACCGACTCGGCCACAAAGGAGCGTTCGGTAGGCAAGGTCGAATTTACTGCTTATAAACTTCAATCTTCCATGAATCTCGTACATTCATAACTGCTCATGGCGTATCAAATGTAAACAAATGACGTCATGCATTAAGAATTGGACAAAGTCCGACAATTTATTAAAGACATTTTTATGTTTAACATTCTTTTTATAGATACAAGTATTTAAGTAAATGCTCTGTTTATAATAAACATAATAATTTATAATAGTAAATATATATATATATATATATATATATATATATATATATATATATATAAAAAAAAAAACTGTCGTAAGGTTTGTTTTTTGACGACTTCATAAAGGGTTATCTTTTTTTAGGGTATTTAAACTATTTATTTCGGCTATGGATTATGAAGGGTGTTATATTGTATGCATGTTTTTAGTTAATTATTCAAACCATGAATCTGATGAGTGGGCTATGGATTAAACAAGTTATTATATTGTATGCTAGTTTTTAGCTAATAGTTCAAACCAAAAATCTGATGATGCCTACAAAAAACCGTTAACCCGTGTCAAAAAACAAACGTTACGACAGTTTTTTTTTTTTTATGCACAAATCCCTTTCATAAAAAAAAATAAATAAATCTCCATAGACATGCAAACTAGACGAGGGTTAATACATCTTCCGTTTCAAATTTAGACACCCCCACCTTTCACTGACTTGACATCTACGAAAGTAACTCTATACTGATACTTATTATTAACACCCAACACCCGCCTACCCAACTTAAACAATTCGCCCTAGCTGTTACCATGGAAATTTTGATTTCAATTTTTAAAACACGTAAATTTCAGAAACACGTTATTCCCCAAAAAATTTCGCTTGAAGATGGAACAGCTTATTTTAACTTATTTTAACTCAATTTAATTTAAATAATTATATTGAAGTTTTCGGCTCTTGTTTTGAAACATGGGACTTCTTATGTCGCGATTTGGAATCATATTTTTAAATAAAAATATATATATATATATATATATATATATATATATATATATATAAATGGAATAATATATATAAATATATATATATATATATATATATATATATATATATATATATATATATATATATAAATGGAATAATATATATATATATATATATATATATATATATATATATATATATATATATATATATCTAAATGGAATAATAATAAAAAACGAAAACTCTATTTTCGGACGGTCGACAGCTAAACCCACACCACCTACTCCAATTTATTGCTAGTGAGGAAGGTTGTTAGCAACTTTGTATGATGAAAAATAAAACCCATCAAATGGCGGAAGACCTCTTGACAAGTCAATAGCCAAATAACTAGAGGTAGTGTATCCGTAAAATCCTGACACAAAATCCTGACACAAAATACTATGTCGAATAAGAGTAACAGAACGCTTAATTTAGCGTAAGTGGGGAATGTGCATGAGTTTTAAGACTTTGAAGTGACTGAGGTCATCAAATATCGATGAGCTACCATATTTAGTTGTAATGGTTTAATCCATGCATTGGAAAGATGCCGGAATATTTTTCATCTTTTACATCAGATGGGAACCTGAATTAATGAACTTCAAACTTCGTGTTAGGGGCTGGGGGAAACGAAGAATTGAAATCATGGAGATTTTAATGAAACTTGTGATTCTTGATGCAGAATATTTAAATGATTTCCGTTTGGTTCTTTAAGAAGACAATATCAGATCACTGTTGAGTAAGCAGGATTGATGTCTTGCAAGAATTATTGATTGGAAATCGAGAAGGAGTAGATAGAGTAAGCAGAATGTTTGTGAGAAAGACGAAGGCACTTATGAGAAGGAGGAAGACAGAGGAAACGAAAAATACACAAGAAGGAGAAGAAATAGGTAAGGAGAAAAAAAGAGAAAAGGAAAGGAAAAAAAATTGAAAACTGAACAAGGAGAAGATTGAGAACAAAACGGAGATATAAAGGGAGTAGTAGTAAGGTAATGAAGACGAGGGAGACGTAAATTGAGAGGGGAGAGAATAAAATTGGAAGAGGAGGAGGAGTAGAAGAAGAAGAAGAAAAAGAAAGAAGAAGAAGAATTAACATAAGTATAGCGAAAGAAAAAAGAAAGAAAGAAGACGAACAAGAATAAGAATTTATGTAGGGATAGTTGAAGAAGAAAAGGACTGATAAGGATAGTAAAAATAATAAAAGAAGTAGAATTGATAAAGAATACTGAAAGAAAATAATAATAATAATAATAATAATAATAAAAAGAAGAAGAAGAAGAAGAAGAAGAAGAAGAAGAAGAAGAAAAAGAAGTAGAAGAAGAGGAGGAAAAAGAAAAAGATGATGAAGAAGTAATGGCGTGGAATGGGAAAACTGACGATGAATATAAAAGGAAACATGATAGAAGGAGAAGAGAAGAAGATGAAGAAGAAAGTGAGAGAGAAAAACATGAAGAAATCGAAGAAGAAAAAGAAAATGTGACGGAAAAATATGAAGAAAAAGAATAGAGAAACGAAATAAAAAGACGAAGGAATTAGAGGAAAAACAAGAAAGAAGAAAGATGTAGAAAAACAAAAATGAAAGACTAAAATAAAAGTAGATAAAAGGTAATTAAAAGAAAAACAATATTAGCGTTCAAGAAGAGCGAGGAAAATATTAATGAATGAAAAGGAACAAACAAAAGTGAGAGAACTGTTACTGAAAACGAGAAGAAATATTGAGAACGTTATTATTATTATTATTATTATTATTATTATTATTATTATTATTAATAATAATAATAATATTTTTTAATTATTATCTTCATTACTATTTAAATAATTTTATTATAAAATAATAAATTAATACCATTAATTTTCGCTCGTTGTGTTTTTAATTCAGTATCGAATGCTATCAAGTCTCAACAGTATTCAAGCAATGAAAAAACTTGCTGTCACTTGATCTGAAATATGTTACTTACTTTTTTCTGTTGCGCGTCATTTGAAGAGGATTGCGACCATGGCTTTCCATAACTTCCTGTCTTTTGTTGCTCTAAGTAACCTTTGACTATTTACTCACTGTTTCCTCCTGCCTCTCATGACTTCAGTTATGTCTTGCGAGTATTAAATTCTCTATTCCGCCTTTCCTCATTATGTGACCTTAGATATTTCAAATAATTATTATCATGCAACGCAAACGAATTATCAGTGCATTATTTAAACGAATTAGCCGTAAATAAATAAGTGTCTCTTTGTAGCTGTCTGTCACTTATACTTCTGCCAACGAAGGCTGTTTACATTTTTGTAACTTTTTAAAAACTGAAGATAACTTTAATAAAAACAAAAACATTTTCCTTTGTTCGTTTTATTGTAGACAAAAATGGCAGAAAATGTTTCTCAACAGAATTGTTCAATGCCACCTTCATCATCTTCAGACGAAAATTTACCAATAAAAATGAAACGGGTACGAGACCTGCAAAAAAAACAAAAACAAAAAAACAAAAAAACATGGCATTTTAAGAAAAAAAAAAACTTCCATGGAAGTGTTGGAGGATATCGTTTGTTGGACGGGAGAAGAATGCGGAAGGCCGAGGAAAACAACGGTCGCTCTCATAGTTGACTAAATTTGCATAATAAATTTTATAATTAGTTTGCATTTATTTATAATAAACTAAAATTTGATTTAGATTCATAATAAATAGTAATAAAATTGCCTCATTTCAAGTTTTTGATGGTCGGTTAAAAGTTGTAAAATCCCTTTTATAAGGATAGAAAATCACGCATTTAAGTAACCCAATAATCGATTTACTGTTTTAGATAAATTATAAAATAAGTAGCGAAGTAATCGTTCTAAGTAACACAGTACTACGTTGTTGTTGAAGTCGGTTAACTTTGCGGGCGGAAGTCTAGATTACTGAACGAGAGTTATAATATAAATACAACGCATAAGATGTGGCAGGTTCAACGGTAGAGGTTGAAAGTAGATATAAAAACGGAAATGGTCGAGAAAAGAAGATAAAAGGAAATACGAAGGAATGCTGAACAGCTCCCGCCCCGAACAAGAAACCTTAAAAAAAAAAGCAAATAAATAAATTGGTAGAAACAAAGAAGAACGTTAAATTGACATAGCAGATCTATTCCTTAATAAAGGGTGTCCCAAAATAATGTATACACTTTTTAAATATTAATAGTTAATACGACATTACCGTGATGTGAGAACTTATATGGATGAAAATCTGCAAAACAAATGGATTGGAAGAAGAGGGACAATTGAATACCCACCTAGATCACCAGATTTGACACCCTTGGATTTCTTTTTGTGGGGGTTTCTAAAAGACAAAGTTTACAGCAGGAAACCTGAAACAGTTGCTGAAATGAGAGTAGCATTTAAAGAAGAATGTGCTCAAATACCAGAGGAAATGATACTGGACGTTTGTAGGTCTATTTCTTCAAGATATGAAAAGTGTATTGAACAGAACGGCAACCATTTTGAGCACTTGATGTGAACTCATCATTATATGAACATTCGGCCATTGCCCTATGCAGATTTTATCTTATTAAAGTTAATTTTCTGTTTTTTGTATATTTTACTCTCAAATTCTTTAAATGTGTATACTTTCTTTTGTATTAATTTTATTTACAAGTCAAAATACATAAATTGAATAAGTTATAACGATTCAATGAGTGTATACATTATTTCGGGACAAACTGTATATACCAGGGAATGTGTCTCACAGATCAAAAACAGACTCAAATCGGCAGAGAATCTATATCTATAATTCTCAAAATGTGTATGTGTGTGTATGTATGTGTGTGTGGGGGGAACCTACTGTGGGAAAAATCTTCCTCGTCAGTCATGTATTAAATGATACATGATCGCCTAAGCGTGTATCCCGCATAGCACATAACTGCTTGAAAGAAAGATACATGATCGCCTAAGCGTGTATCACGCATGGCACATAACTGACTGATAGTATGAAATGATTAAAAATATAAAATAAAAGAAATAGGTCCTTCGTTTTCGACATGAGAAATGAATTGAAGGCCATTGGCAAGAATGTAACATCTGTGGCTTAGAGAAAAAAAAAATAAACATTCTAATAAGTCGGAGGTTGCATGGAGTGACCGGATCTCTTCAGTTGTTCCAGAACATTATTAAACACTGCAGGACATTATTAAACACTGCAGCATTGCTGAGTTTTAATTATTGTTTCTTTTATCTTCCACGTCATTTTAAGACGTGTACGATCATGGTTTTCCATAACTTCACACAAATTTATTAAGTAGGCTCCTCGCCGTTTCTATCTGCCTCTCTTGACTACAGTATGTCCTACGAGTGTTAAGTTTTCCAGTCTGTCTTTCCCCATTATGTGACCTAGATATAGTATCAGTTGTCTTGTAGTTCCTAACTTCTCGTTGCGCACATGTTCAGTCAATGGTATTCTTAATGTTAGAACCACATTTTACCACCAGCTTTTCCAGCCATATCCCACATCAAAATCAGCCTGGCTATCTTAACTGTTAACACCCTGCCTTGACTTAAAAACCTCTATTAGTTCAAATTTCTTTTTCTTCTATGATGAGATTGTCCAGCATTCACTGCCATAGAAGAAATTCAATATAACATAACAATTCAGCACTTTTAGTTTCTTAAGCAATTTTCCAGTCGAATCCATTACATTCACTTAGTGTCTGGGAGAATCTAGCTTTAGATGGAAGAGTTCACGATTAGACGCTTTTCGTACGAGGGCATCAGAGGTATGTCCAACGAGATCTAGGGGAACCGTATGCATAATGTTTATAGGAGTCAGGTTAGACTAAAAGAGTATTGCTGTCATATCTGAATTCAGGCCTGATCAATCCTGATTCAGGCTTTCGTATTTCATTCTACGGTTTTTCCCCTACAGGCAACGCAGATTCACATCCCCCCCCACCGCAGAGACAATCACTTTTCCAAAGTTCCTAGTTCCGTGTACATGCTTCCCTGGAAACCCGAAACCTGACTTCTTCAAATAAAAAGTTAGTTGTCATGTTTTCTCTTTATTCACAGAATCTTTATTTCTTACCAACTTCTCTTCCATTCATTGCTTCATGCTTTTTGACTCTAATCCTTAATTCTCAATGGTTGTCGAACATTATGATGGTGAAATCTTTAATTAAAAAATGATTCAATCGAAGCGTTTGAATAAAAATATCGTGTTTTTTTTTGTTTCATGTTTATAGTTGTATCAACAACCTGCATTAATTATTTCCTGGGAACAATCCGCTTGCACGCGGATAGAAAACGAGGCCAGTGAATACACAGAAGAAGAAGAAGAAGAAGAAGAAGAAGAAGAAGAAGAAGAAGAAGAAGAAGAAGAAGAAGAAGAAGGATGTGTTATCGCAAAAGTTTTATTATACATCGTGATGAACCTAAAGGACCTAGAAGAATAAGCAGGATTTATTTATGGGGACATTAACTTAACGACATAAGATACATTAATAAGGATACGTTGGTGGCTGACTTAGAAAGAAAAATGAAATAAAGATTACATAATTTAACAAAGACAAGTGAGTAGAAAGTAGTATCAAGTGTATTTAATACATGATTGTCGGCAAGAGACAACCCAAGGTGTGAGTTATGTTACTGGGGACGTCAATGTTAAACAGGTACAGAAATTAGTGTGTTTCAGGTACAAATGTAAATTAGTAGATATAAACTTCGAAATGTCTGAAGTCTCGGAGAAATAAGCATGATTTTGCTGTAGAATGGAATAAATTAATTATTCATAATACAGTTACTTTATTAATAATACGGATTCTTTAATAATCATTTACTGTTTTTCTTTTTTCATTACTATTAGTATAGTTATCTGTGACAGTATCAGTATAATTATCTGTGACATCCTAAAATTTTTATGGGGCCTGTTTGAAATGCAACCTGATCTTGATTCTCTGTCTATTCGCCGAGGTATCATTTTGCACAGATAGGTCTGGATGGCTAGATTCGTCGTTGTTATTTTGGGATCTAAGTTACAGGATTCGATATTACTGATCCCGATTGATTTTTCTTTTCCCTTTTCCTTTTCGGTGTACAAATGTTGGTGTCCTTGATGAGATTTATAGGTTAATCGATTTTTGAACACGGTGTCCGATTCTGATTAATAAATGTTGGGGAAATGCACACTATCCTATCAGAGACAGGATATACACATCTGTAACTAAGGTTAGTAGAATGTTCATGACGAGACTTGCTGAATGTTCGTAGAATTGTTATTGACTTTGAAGAAAGGGCAAGAGGTTCGTATCTATACACATACATGTAATGGTACGTCACTCTGGCGAAGCCTTAATGTAGATTATTGGTTCGTGTATTTGTATAACATTACTAATGTAGTGAGTTCAATCCTTGTTGGATACCATAGGCAGGAGGACCTATGCCAAATATAAAATTAGCATTGTTTATTGTTTTTAAAGTCTTGACATTCTGCGAGGAATATTCTCATTTTCTTTCTTCTATCATGACCTTTTCTTCTTTCTTTCTTTCTTTTCCTTTCTTTTTCCATCATGATCTTGCTTTTCTTTTCTTTTCTTTTCTTTTCTCCATCATAACCTTTCTTTCTTTTCTACTTATTCTTTCCTTCTTTTTACTTTTCTTTTTTCTATCATGACCTTTCTTTCTTTATTTTTTAATTTTGTAATTAATGTTTCTTTCTTTAAAATTTCTTTTAAATTTCTTTTGTTTCTTTTCTTTTCGTTCTTCCATCATAACCTTTCTTTCTTTCTTTCTTTCTTTTTCCAACATAACCTTTTTTCTTTCTTTTCTTAATTTTCTTTCTTTTTCTTTTTCTATCATGATCTTTCTTTCTTTTCTAATTATTCTTTCTTTCTTTCTTTCTTTCTTTCTTTCTTTCTTTCTTTCTTTTCTAATTATTCTATCTTTCTTTTTCCATCATGAAATTTCTTTTTTTCTTTACTTTTCGTTCATCCATCATGACCTTCTTTCTTTCTTTCTTTCCATTAGTCCTGATTTCAGCATGACGCTAAATCATTTCTTTCTTTCTTTCTTTCTTTTTTTCTTTCTTTTTCCAACATAAACTTTTTCTTTCTTTTCTAAATTTTCTTTCTTTTTCTTTTTCTATCATGATCTTTCTTTCTTTTCTAATTATTCTTTCTTTCTTTCTTTCTTTCTTTCTTTCTTTTCTAATTATTCTATCTTTTCTTTGTCCATCATGAAATTTCTTTTTTTATTTTCCTTTCGTTCATCCATCATGGCCTTCTTTCTTTCTTTCTTTCTTTCTTTCTTTCTTTCTTTTTCCAACATGACCTTATTTCTTTCTTAAAAATTCTTTCTTTCTTTTCTTTTTTCTATCATGACCTTTGTTTGTTTCTTTTTTTTTCTAATTAGTCCTTCTTTTCTTTTTACATCATGACATATTTCTTTCTTTTTCCTTTTTCACTTATTCTTTCTCTGTCAATTATTCCCTTTTTATCCATCAGTTACTCCTTTCCTTTTCAAATTATTCTTTTTCCTTTTTTAATCGTTATTTCTTTCTTTACCAATTATTATTCTTTCTTTCTTTCTTTCTTTCTTTCTTTCTTTCTTTCTTTCTTTCTTTCTTTCTTTCTTTCTTTCATAATTATTCTTTCTTTTCTGATTTTTCTCTTTTTCTTTCTTTCATTCTTTTTTCCTTTGCCAAATATTCTTTATTTATCAGTTATTAATTTTTCTTTCTTAAACTCTAATGGTAGGCCCTTAGATACAAACTGTTTGATAGACTCATGATATTTGCTGTAGGACAGTTGTTAGAGAGAGAAATTTAAATATCCTTAGTAATATAGTGAGTTCGATCCTCATTGGAAGCTCATCACTTGTATTAGACAAAAGTATCAGAATTCTTCATCGTAGAATAATGTTTATCGACTTAGTCTGTAACTACTATAATTAATTTAATCCCCACTTCGTGACTTAAACTAGCAAAGACCAAGCTAAGCAATATAAACAATAAATAGAACACCTCAAAATAAAGCACTAGTTTTCGAGCTAGGTTTGAAAACTGTACTATATCCTATCCTCATTGGATGGAGCCTTAAAAAGATTATTATGACTTTTGTAATCATCCTGGGGCGCCCCGCACTTGAGACTTCGTAATGGATTACAATAGTCTCACTACAAGTGTGTATTATCATGGTAATGTCGCCATCAATTTACTAGGCTAAGAATTTTTCGTATTTGAAGCTTTAATTAAAAGTTCGAAAAAAATTACATGCATATTCATCAAATATATATATATATCTAATCTTATTCTATTGTCTATTGCCATCATTGTGCCAGAAGCACATTTCCACGCTTATATCATTTGACTGGTTTCAATCGCATCCATATTGCCCGCGCAGGAAATGGTGCAAAGTCTGGATTGTTGGCGGTTTGAGGCAGAACTTCCAGTTCCACATTTTTTTCACGTTTGCGCTTAGTCACATTGACAGTGTTCGCTGTATGATTGTTTGACTTTGATGGACCAATTTCGGGTAGCGGGCTTTCAAATGAACATGAAATCGCTGAAGTTGTTGGACATAAAGGTCAGCGTTCACCGCATGACTATGTGGGGCAAGCTCAAAGTGAAACACCCCCAGAAAATTCCATCAAACGCACATGACCTTCTGTTCAAACCGTGATTATTTGGTAAAAGATTTTGAGGCGTGGACGGAGCGAAATCACTTATTTCTCTTGTAAGGATAACGAAAATAGATCCATTTTTCATCCCAGTAACAATTCGACGCCCAAAACGGCTACCTTCAAGATTCGCCAATAGTTTGCAAATACTCACACGTAGGTGAGACTGGTCATTGATCAGTTCATACGGAACTTTTGGACTGTCTGTTCACAAGGCCAAGCTTATTGAGTTGTCGATTGATAGTGTTTTGTGAAGGACCATGTTCTGCCGACAATGTACGAGTGCTTGTGCTTGGTTGTTCAACAATATCAAGGCCTCATCTATCACAACAGATAATTTCCCAGGCCTTAGTTTTTCTTTGAAGCTGGTATCTGAACCAATTTTATGACACATGTTTTTTGACAGTTCCTAGTCCTTCCACAACATTAATTTCTTTTGCCATTCTACTTGCGTTTATCCCTCCTCCCCACAGGTTGTGTAAAATGATTCTAATTGCAATTCTTATCCACGGTCATTATCAAAGCTCTTAAGATAAAGAATAAACAATTTATGTTTATATATTATTTATAAAAATAAAGAATATGATTAATTGATTTGTCTTATGGGTCATTTAATGAAGGAATTTAATTTTCTTATTAGCTTTGAAATAATAAAAATATGATATATATTATTCTGATTTCACAGCTGAATACATGGTAGATGATACTCAGATTTTGTGCATATACCTGTTTGTATGGACATAATTATTAGAGGTGGTGATATGTGTGATTTACGTTGTGGATTTATTAAAGTTATATTTTGGAATGCAGTCTGATTTCTTTAAGAAATTTTAGTATCTTATATAGATTAATGTCAGGAAAGAGTTCTTTCATGTTGTTCATTTGGTTGGGTGATTTTGTTTGGCGGCATATCAACCTCTTTGGGTTATTTAATATCAAAATCTAAATATTTTGTGCGTAATTTTATGCTTTCAGCTACAGATATTCTGTATATAAATTTATACTTTCTGAGCAAAGGTATGTTTTTTAGATATATATTTCGTAGGTCATAAAATGTATTGTTGGTAATTTTACTATAAGAATGTATTTTTATGTTTTTTTAGTGTTACGTTTTCATTTTGCTATAAAAAGTAATGCGGCTCATTTTAATATAAAAATGGACTGTTGATTTTTGTTTAGGGGTTCACTAATTGCCTATAGCTGGGGCCCTAACAGGAGCTACCATTCAGGGTCAGGGTAGACCTGGGAACAATAGCAATTAAGAAGTGGTTTCCCGTTCTTCAAAACCTCTACTCTCTCGATCAGAGGCCTTGCTGCTCAATGTAGTCTATCATCATACCCAGGACGAAAAATAAAGAATAAACAATTTAACAACAAATTGTAACGAATTAATGCTATAACATAAAGATACAAGTTACCAAAAATCATCAGTGAAAATCCCTAAAAACTTTGACTCAACCTAATTTGTGTGTGTGCATATATATATTTTTAATATGAAAATAAAGAATAAACAATTCAGTAACAATGAATAACAAGTTGTATCGAATTAATAATATAAACATAGATATAAAAGCAGCCAAGCGTCATCAGTGAAAATCCGAAAAAAATTCACTTAATCTGGTAGTGGTGCAGATTCAAACTGCATGAATGAGTTCTAACTTTAATGGAATTTGAACCTAGGAACCTAATCCCATTTTAGTATAGAGTTCACTTCAGCATAGAAGTCAACAAGCTAGTGTCGCAAAAGATTGCAACTATATTACGTTTTATACTGGGTGAATGTCCCACAGTTCTGTTAGATAAGATTGGGAACTATATCCCCTGCAGAGAAATAAGCTTGTCATTTTCAAGAAGGGCCACCTGCCAGATGTAACTTACAGACTCGAGTATAAACCGACTAATGTTAACCTTTTTAACTCTAGTGTAAACCTATATCTACCATTTTCTTTTTAATGTAAAGCGGATGTATGTCGACATTTTTAACACTCGTGTAAAATGAACCTGTCTATCTTTTAGTCTCTAATATAAACCAAACATATATCTACTATTTTCATTCTAATATAAACCGAATACATACGTACATTTTCTATTCTCGTATAAACTAGACATTATATATCATTTGGAATCTAGTGTAAACCGGACCTATATGAAGTCTGCCTGAGACGTAACAACTGGTCTCACAAATAATTTATTTCAATTCCAAACAACAAACTACATGATTTTTCTCTTTAGAGTAATCCACATCGAGTTTAATGCAAATTTCTATTAATTTCTGCTATGTTTCTATGTCCCTCAGCTCCGCCGTTAACAACTATTGATAGCTCCCCACCACCACGCCTTAAAAGTGGTCCCCTTGATGATTCTCTTCAGTTTGAGGAAAGGAAAAAGTCACACGGAGCAAGATCAAGTGAATAGGGAAGGTTTTCCAGTACAACGATGTTTTTCTCGGCCAGAAACTGTGTTATACCTAGGACGTTGTGAGCAGGCGCATTGTCGCGGGTAAGCAACACGAATCGTTCTGCCACATCTCTCGTCTCTTCTAGCGCACTGAGCAAACCAAACGCTGTTGGATCTCTTTGTAGACTCACTGATTGGTCATCTTGCCCCGTGGCAAGGACTCACAGTGGACGATATCCATAACTGACACAATACACCCAGTCCATATACTTTTCGGAATGACCTCGTATCTACTAAGCTCGTTCAAATATAAACCTGACCTATGTGTACATTTTCTACTCTCGTGTAAACTAGACTTATGCTTGTCTTCTGAACTCTTGTGTAAACGGGGCCTAATTATTAACACGACGCCAATAGCAGTGTAAAACGTAGCAGGTTTTATTTCTGCCTTTTTTTAATCTAATCTATGAGGTTTCAAATTTACTTTTTCACGTACAAATCTATATATGCGCACACAATAATTTCAAAATAGAACGTGGTTAGATTTTGTGTGTAGAAACAAAGACAAGGGCGTATTTCAAGCATGAAATTATATATGCAATATCAATTTATCGATGGGAGAATATTCCCCTCGAGAAATCAATCACACAAGTAGTGCCCCGAACGGCTGTGACTGACAATCGTTAATCCCGGGCGTCCCTGGCGGCGTAAACTGTCCAGGAAAATCTCTTTTGCTAGACGAGCAATCATTCATCATTGTTTTTGCAAACGGATATCAATCCATTGTCATTAGAATTTAGATGAGAGTATTTTATATCGGATTTATTTTGACAGTCGGATTTGGTCAGCCGTGGGAAAATTAAAAATCCCATCTTTTGTTCTTATTAAAGGATTGCATTGGACAATCTAGAAATAGGTTTTTAAAAAAAATTAGATTTATTGAAGAATTTTTTCAAAAAAATATCCCAAACGTAAGGATAGCTTGCATTATTTCTTAAATCTAACTTATTGTGATTGTTGTCCAATTAGTAGTTTTTGACTATTAGTAATATCGTCCTGGGTATGACGATAGACTGCATCTAGCAGCAAGGCCTCAGAACGGGAGCTTTTAAGGAGAATCGAACCACCACTTAATAGTTATTGTTTCCGAGTCCATTCTGACTCGGGATAGTGGCACTTGTTAGGATCTCAGCTACTGGCAAATAGTGAAGCCCCAAACAAAACAAAACACGATGAAAGTAAAAAAAAAATACCAGCAATACATTTTCATAGTAAAAATATTAGCAGCAATAGATTTGCGTAAAATGCTCCCGAGATAATTAAATTTCGTCATTAAATGACCCATAAGCAGTTGATATGCCGCTAAACAAACAAACTATTAGTAATAGATGAAACATTAACAAATATTAATTTGTAGTAATATTGAGATTTTATTAGATTATCAAGGGTTATTAATTTTTAACGTACATTTCTTTTAATCTCTTTTTTTCACCATACAGGTAGTCTGCAACCCCGCTTGCATCTGAGTATCAGGGTCGTCGTCCTCACTGTATTCCCTTTCTCTTCTCTGGTGGCAGTGTCGGAGATTGATGTAAAGGCCCAGCCAACTCCTGAAGAGTCGTAAGCAGGAGTCGCAGAAGAGTGTGGGTGGTAGACGGGGGTGGACGACTCAGGGCCTCTTGACACCATATCGCAGATCTTTCATGTTGATGTTTGGACTTGAAAGTCTCGACCCCACCCGGATGATCCTGCGCCGGGAAGGCAACGGTTTCCAAGGTTTCAGAATCGATGTTGGCCTGTGTAAGCGACGTCTTCAACTGGTCTTTGAAGCGTCGTTTTGTACATTCGCCTAGACTCTTATCTCTAGGCGAGTTATCCAAACATGATGATACGTGGTAGTCGAGTGTGGCGCAATTCTAGACATATGACCTGCCCATCGGAAGCGATGTTGAAGGATTGTAGCCTCGATGCTGGGAGAAATATGTCCGAATGAAGACCTCATTGTTGGTGATGTGTTACTCCAAACCGATGCGAAGGATTCTTCCGAGCTTCGTTTGCTGGAATCACTCCAGACGTTTGATGTCTCGACGATACAAAATCTAAGTCACACGAGCGTACAGAAGAGTTGGGAGCACCACGGCTCGGAAGACCATGATTTTTGTTCTTATTGTGAGGTCGGGTTGCTGAAGACCCGGTGTAAGAGCGTTCAGTACGCTGCAGGAGCTACTTTGATCCTGTTGTCAAGGACTCTTCCCGCAAGTGACATCATTCGAGAAGACGCTCCCACGGTAGGGAATTCATCGACAAATTCTACCGGTTATCCGTCGATGCTAGTTGAGGATCTTTGTCTTTTGGCATTGACCTGCATCCCGAAGGCTTTGTAGGCCTCGTTATACTTATCTATAGAGGTTAATGACAGTCTGGTCCGCAGTAGCATTGTTGTCAGCATACTGAAATTCTCGCGGTTGGTGGTATTCTTTGTGCAAGTACGAAGTCGAGCGAGTTTGAAGAAATGGTGGTCGATTCCGTATCCGATGTTCTGCCAGGTAGGTTCTAGACTCTCTGATTTCTCATTCCGAGCTCCCAGGAGGGGAGGGGTTAATAACGATTAGAAATGAAAGATTAAAGAAAGAATCGTCAAAAAATTAATGTTTTTAATGAAAAAAAATCAATAAGATGTCCCTTATTTTTATTTGGTCATCGTTCTCAAAAAAAAAAAAAAAAAAAAAAAAACAACCCCCAAAACAAAAACAAACAAACATGGAAACAAACTGCAATTGTGGGTGACAATTTAAACTAAAATCCAAAAGATTTTGAATAAGAAATGATATATATCCCGACATTGTAGAATGCTCAGCAGGTACACCACCATTTTGCATTGAGTTCGTTTTTCATTGAGTTTAATACATTCTTCGTACGTTTGTGCATTTACACAATTCATTTTAGATTTCCCAAAATGAGGAAAGGTTTCATAATTTCGTTAAGACATTGGAAATCGTCGTTACAAAGACTTCGGAACAATGTAATATCCAATCATCTATGTAGATGTAAATGCTAGACAATCTCTTAACAGATGAAAATGAGACTTGAGGCAATAGAGATATGCTTCTACCGATGAATTCATGTGAATACCACTTTTCAGAATTTGAGAAGGTTTTGAGGAAAATAGGGACTACAAGAAAATTCACATTTTGGGACACATAATGAGGAAAGAAAACCTAGAGAATTTAACGTTCATAGGACATTAAAGTTAAAAGAAATAGCAGAAACAGCGTGTAACCTATTTAATGTGCAATGTGGATGTTTTAAGGAAAATTGGAAGGAAAATGATATTAATACTTACAATCAGAACGAGACAATTGAAATTTTGCGGACAAAGAATTTCTTTTTTTTCCCGTTCTTTCGTTCGTTCTTTCTTTCTTTCTTTCTTTCTTTCTTTCTTTCTTTCTAGAATGTATTGCCCTCTCACGGAGTAATTTTTATATCCTATCATTTTTTTCAAAGTGTTTAAAAATTTTCTATAATCATGGCAGTCGTGTCACGCATTCAAAAACGATTAATTTATTGATAGATTGATTTGATTTTTTTTTACTGCTTATCAAACGTTTGTGGATTATTTAAAGCCGAAACCTATTTTTGATTATAAAAATAATTCCTTTTTGAGAGTGAATATTGCATTAAAATCTTTTTGAGAATAACAATGATTTTTCCAGATGCAAGCCCTACTATTTAACCGATAGCTAGGGGGAGAAGATGGATACATATCTTTACCAAGGGTATTTGTACGTGAGTGAATATAATGAAACGGACTAGAATTCGAACTGTTAATAGCAAACCCAAAAAGGAAAATTAATAGCAGACTCAAAAAGGAAAATTAAAGTACTGTCAGAAAAGAGAATAATAGGAAAAAAGCATGAAGATAAGAATAACTGTTAACTGAAAAAAAACAGAAAAGAAAAAAAATGAATAGTTGTCATCAATTTGTTGATGAATGATAGTTCATTTGTTTTTGACGGTTTATCAACACTTTGTATGTTATTTAAATTCGAAACATATTTTGTACTGTAAGATAATTATTTTTTGCGAGTGAAAAAATTAAAATTTTTATAAGAATAACAATGATTTTTTCTATATACAAGTACTACTATGTAACTCATAGCTGCGAGAGAAGAGGGGGTAAAATTTTCAAACAACAGACCGTTCAAAATTCCTTATTTACAAAGACATAAGTCACTTGGCATTTAATCAATCATAATCTTGAAGACATTCTTTTAAACAACATTTTGTCTCGTCCCATTTTATCTTATAATAAAACCATAAAAAATACCCAATCATGCAACAGAAACAAAACTAATAAAATCAATCAACGCTACTTATTAAATATATCGATCTTCCCTTTCAAAGTTCGCAAAGCTGTTAACTGACACTTCTTTTTTTTTCCAATATTTCCATGATATTTTCTGTAGAACCCTATCATCTCTCTTGCCATCCAACGTCACTTGGGACCTTCCAAATGTATTTATTCCAGTTCCCAACGAAGTTATCGGATCAGATCGATTTGCGATCGAAGTGTAGGCGTCTCAAGCTGAAGGAAATAAAGGCGAAAGAAAATCGACATTAGTTTGGCCCAATAATGTTTTTGGCGGGAAGACCAGCAGGCGGCATTAACCTTTCTGGTTCCTCCTCTGATAAATTCTAATTCTGTAACATTGCAGGCTTCGAATTCTCTACAGTAACATTCATGGCTGTAAGTGTATGGCGTCTTCAGAACGTCAAAGATTGGTACAACAGGACATTGTCAAACACAATTGTTTCGTTTTACCATTCCTTGTAAAAGCGTGGAGCGTAAACTGAATCAAAAACTAAAATTACCTGCCTTAATTCGGAAATACCAAATAAAGGTATATGAACGCGTAACTAGAAGCTTATATAACGGGTGTCATCACGGGTAAACTTGAGTTTGTAAGAATTTTCAAAAAAGTTAGGAAAAGTTAAAAATAAATACAGAATGGTACGAGATTTTATTATTTTGTAATAATCCATTCCGGCTAAAAATATCGCCATTGCCAAAACAAGCTTCCGGAGAAAAAACTAAAATATTGGACTCTTGTGCCCGCCAAAAAAAAAAAAAAAAAAGAAAAAAAAAAGAAAAGAAAGAACAATAAAAAAATGGAGTATCAAAAGTACGTTTCTTCCCTATTATTTTAACTACCTTCACTCATCGAAAATGTTTATCAGTTTAAATAAGGATGACCAGAATTGTAATAAAGTCTAAACATAACATTAATGTAAATTTATACATTTTCTTTGTTCTTGAGAAGTGACAACAAAAATATTAAAGACTATTTGTTAGATTAGAGTATCTCTTCGATGTTCCATATGGAGTGAGCTTAGTTATTTTAAATCTGCGTTTCGATTTGTTCATCATTAGAGACAACAGTGCCGCCGGAACGTTCTCGGTCTGCCAGATCAAAATTTCCACTTCTGAACGGGGCTAACCAATTATAAGAAGGACATTCAGCTATAGCACCGTCTCCATAAACGGCACATATACTTTTACTGTTTATATAGCGTTTTTCTTTCTTTCCTTCCCAGAAATAAAATATCATCAAGTCAAAAAATGGATTTCATTTTCCTTTATTTCCCTTTTCCTAACCCACACACGAATCATAAGTAGACGATTCTATGTCATCTTTCAGAATATGCATATATGCATATATATATATATATATATATATATATATATATATATATATATATAATCCTTTATTATAATTTTATCATATAGGCAAAACCATTTTACTCACTACAAAGATGCAACTTAGTTTCAGTGCATTTCAAATGCACATCGACGGGTGAGAATCGAAATTGCCTACAAGCAAGATTGTTCATAACCATTTTCGATTCTCACCCGTCGATGTGCAGTTGAAAAGCACTGAAACCAAGTTGCATCTTTGTAGTGAGTAAAATGGTTTTGTCTATATGATAAAATTATAATAAATAAATAATTATCGCTTTACTATCGGTATCGAGCCCTTTTTTGGATTAATGCTGTGGACGTTGGAATTTATATATTACTTTCGTTCTCATCGTATATATATATATATATATATATATATATATATATATATATATATATATATATATATATATATTTGAATATATATATCATCAAATATATATATATATATATATATATATATATATATATATATATATATATATATATATATATGATGGACTCTTCCGTCGTTTTCAACGTATGAGTGTTTTATGTGCATGTTTCGTATGAGACACAAATCCTGCATGGGACTTGCAAACAAATCCACACGAAGGACATCCTGAAGGGTTGACCGTCATATGGGCCGATGTATTAACCCGAGATTTAATGTTGGTTCGTAATTCTCTCAGATGGTTCAGACGATTCTTTTCAAAGTTAGTTATTGCTCGGTAGCTGGTGTTTCTCTAATTTGATCGGTTTTCAACAGCAACTTCGAACTCCTCTATAGGGACGTTTGCAATATTTAAATTGTATTCAGGTTTTTCCTTAAAGCGTAACCAAGGACGGCCTACATTACACTTACCATGAAAAATTTATATATATATATATATATATATATATATATATATATATATATATATATATATTGATGAGATACTCTATTCATATTTATTCTATGGATTCAGTAGTTATCAAAGTTTTTAGTCATATTACATTTGCGTGTTTCAGGTATCCTGTTGATGAATGGCTATTCTTAATTGAAGTAAAACTGGACACGCATGCGCTGCGCAACTACAAACCTAAACACGGAATGGATCTATCGTCACGTCCAACAATTCGTGCATGGTCCAAGAAATTTATGGAGGCAGGGACAGTGTTGGTTAAAGGGCGGAGTGGACGACCAAGAACATCTGAGAAAAACATTGATCGTGTAAATCGAGTACCATCTTGAGGTGCTTTGTGCAACTAATGGTGCACATATAACGGGTGTAACAAGAAAATTGGCCCAAATCGTGTAACAGCAAAATTGTCCAATTGTTAGATTAAGTTTTGAACCGTTGTAACTGAGAAATGATTAAAGATATCTTACTGGAATTCTCCGAGTTTTTTTCATAGCACTATTAGAATCTACTTTGAACTATAAGAATGTATTTAGCTTGCTGTTGTGACCTCCTTATCCAGTTTTCCTTTTTACAGTTCCCTCTTTCTTAAACTTATTCATCGTTCTCTTGATGGTTCTTGGGTGGACATTGAAGATAGAAACCAGACAATGGGGTTGACACAAAATGATTTTAACCTGTCCTCTTTCCAGCTGAATATCTCAAAGGGTTTTTTAGTGTTTCTTAAGACAAGAATGGTGTCAAGATGGTTAAACGTCTTATCTGAAAAACTGGGAAAAATAAAATGAATTAGTTTAGTGTATTTTTTTAGATGTTAAACTTTTCGTGGGATGGGTAATTATCCCATGCTGTTACACAATTTGTACATTCTTGCTGTTACACCCGGTAGAGGTGTATCAGTATCTATTCCTCACTTTGTAACGATTTCCATTTCTCTTCATTTGTTGTGCAATAATTTCTTAAATTGTAAAGTGACTTTATGGACACCATATATATATATATATATATATTTATTAAAGACATTTTTATATTTAACGTTCTTTTTTATAGGTACAAGTATTTAAGTAAATGCTCTGTTTATAACAAACAGTATTAAATAACATTTACCGGCCTGAATGTCCGAGAAATTTTCATAGAAAATATTCGTCCTTTGACAGGATTCGAACCCGCATCCTATACGGAACCGTCATTTACGCTGACGTGCCTAACCTCTCGGCTACAAAGGATCGTTCGGTTGGCAAGGTCGAATTTACTGCTTATAAACTTCAATCTTCCATGAATCTCGTACATTCATAACTGCTCATGGCGTATCAAATGTAAAGAAATGACGTCATATATTAAGAAATGGACAAAGTCCGACAATTTATTTATTAAAGACATTTTTATGTTTAACGTTCTTTTTTTTTTATAGATACAAGTATTTAAGTAATTTAAACAGAGCATTTACTTAAATACTTGTATCTATAAAAAAGAACGTTAAACATAAAAATGTCTTTAATAAATAAATTGTCGGACTTTGTCCATTTCTTAATATATATATATATATATATATATATATAATGGAATCTCCCGTCGGTTTCGACATATGAGGATCTGACAGCTTAATTGATTCAGTTATGGAATTTTGTGCGATAATCTTAAGTCGCACTTGACCCACTAGTGATTTACAAACGAGGCCACATATGGAGCAAGAGTGAGGATTGTGGGATGAGATTACTGCTAGATTGGCTGACCTTTTAGATCTTGCTCTCGCTTCTTGAAGACGATTCAGGAAAGCAGATTGGAAATTACTGAGTCCACTAAAACACGTTGATCTCCATTCTACACGCTCTATGGCTAAATGCTCAAGGGTGTTATGTGGTATATTAACAGCTGACAATTTGCTCTTCAGCTTGTCTTTGTATCTTAACCATGGGGAATCTACATTCTTGTAGCCCTGATCTAACTGTTTGTACATTAGGGTCTTGTGTATCCTGTCATCAGACATTCTCAAGACATGACCGTAACTGAGACTGTATGATAAAAGTCTCGATTCCTCCAATATTACACCTGTTAAACATGTCCTATCCTGAAGGTTAATTCGACAGATTTCCCGCAGACAGCTTTTTATGGAAAACATCCGTATGGCGTATATTGTACCTGTATGGAGTCCGCGACTCTGAGCAGTACAAAAGGATGTCAGGTACAACAGCTCTGTAAACCCGAATTTTCGTATCCAGTCGAATACTCCGCTCATTCCACAAGCAATGGCGAAGTTTGCCGTCAGCACTGGTAGCCTTAGCAATCCGATACATGATTTCATCATCTAAAGTTCCACTGTAGTTGACTTTACTACCAAGATAGGTGAAAGACTTTATATAGTTCAGGGCTTTGTCTTCTACTTTCAATGGTCTTTCTGGAAATTTGTAGACTAGTGGTTTTTGTTTCTCACCACGCAATTTCTTCGGAGTAGGACAAGGTTGGTGCACAACTTCAGTTTTCTTTATGCTAAGTGTAAGACCAAATGCTTTACATGCAGCAGAGAAACGATTTATT